GCTACCTCTGGTCTACATTTCATGCTGATGTGGCGCTACCTCTGGACTACATTGCATGCTGATGTGGCGCTACCTCTGGTCTACATTGCATGTTGATGTGGCTCTACCTCTGGTCTACATTGCATGCTGATGTGGCGCTGCCTCTGGTCTCCATTGACGATGTGGCATATGCCACCTGTTTTGACTGCTGACGTGGCATTGTCCACGCTGTCTACATGAGGTGACTGGTTGTGAGGAGGACGAAGATCGGGATCTGTGGATGAAGGAGGTCGGGTACTCACCTGAGGTTGACGTCGTCACTGGAATCTGCTATGTCTTCATGGTCTCTGCCACGTGGCACTATTGTGTGTGATCAGGAATATACTTATTATCATTGTTGACGTGGAGAGGGAAGAAGCCCGGAGAAGGAGAGGGGTCTGAAGGGATTACTGTGTGATCTCTCATCTTCTCCTTTGTCTATTGGTGCTGCCGCTCTTAGTGGAAGAGGGAGGAAGATCTCTTGTTTTTTTTTTTGTCATCTGTACCTCACCCTGAAATCATGGGGAAACTCGCAAGATGCAGAAATGTTGTCAAAGAGGGAGATTGGAGAAAACAATGGCTGAAGGAGAGTTTGTTCTGAAGAGCGTTGCTAGGGAGATCACTCGAACACTGTTTTATTATTCACTCGTTGATTGTTTATTTGATATGGTGCATCAAAGAGGAAGAGGAGACTTGTGGGTCATGAAAAAGGTGCTGAGATGAGGGAGAATTGTATTCTTCTTCTTCATCATCTTTTCTCTCTTCTTTTTCTGCTTATAGCGCTTTTTATAGCTGTCTGACGGTTGCCTTTTAGTCTTTGAGTGAAGATAGGGCGACTTTAATCCCGTTCACCAGCTCGAAGAGCCTGAGTCAATCAATTCAATATGTAAATGTTGCGATTCGTGTTCTTATCTCATATTTATTTTTTGCATCAGGTTATGAACTCTGAGCAGAGCAAAAAGGAGAAGATAATTCTTACCTCCCCGACCTGAGTAAGGAAAGCAGACCTCCCCAGGTCCTTCTCCACCGCATCCTCAATGTCACGAGCATGATCATCCAGGAATTGCTTTACACCCAAAATTTGTTGTTTCCGCCATTTCAAAGGGCGGGTGACGCCTTCCATGAATTTGGCACGCAGGTCACTCACCAATGCTGAGGCACCTGCCACGTCCAACTGTTCTGATCCCATCATCCTGGGCAGCCCAGATGTTTCAGTCATTGAAAAACAGAGCATCTGCTGCACAAATGGTCACCACATAGACGGCAACACACAACGCCCACTGCATGTGCAGCTGCCAAGCAGAGCTCTCACAGGATGTGCAACCTCACATGCAATTTCCAGTGTCTCTGGTCACCATTTTCCTTGAAGCTCCTTCCTCCCTCTACTTCTCCCTCCCAAAGCTTACCCAGAGATTACTATCACGCAATCACTCCTGCAGCTATTAAATCCCCCTCCAGTCTCTCACCATCTCTCCTTCAACCCCCCTGAACACACACACACACACACACACACACACACACACACACACACAAGGGGGCAAACAATCTGTCACTGCATCAAAGACACATTTCTGAAGTATACATGCTTATGTGCCTCACATTTTTCATCCCTCAAATTCCTCTAATGCATCTATCAAGCATTCGGTGCTTGACTTCGTAGTCAAAAGAAAGCACAAATAAACATTCATACATGCCATATTTGCAACTCTGCAATGACCGACACACTTTCAAACTGCGAAATCTGCATTTTCTGAGAGAAGCTGCTGCTTGATCTGTTTGCTGAGATTTCCGAGTCTGCGTCCATTTTTTGCTGTGTTTTCTGAGTGTGTTTTTGACCTGCTGGTTCTGATTCTCATCCGAAAATCCCGGCAAACATTTCATGCACTTCTCAACCAATATCCCGATGTGCTGTCTGAACCAAGTGGGGTTCCCAAACGTCCAGTCAAGCATAAGATCGATCTCCTCCCTTAGAGCCAGCCCCCCAAAGGATGCATTGACTGCATGGCTCCGGCTAAGCTTGAGAAACTACATAAGCAACTTGATGAGCTGTTAGAGAAAGGATGGATCAGACGAGCGCCCATTCTTTTCTTAAAACGAATGGCAAACTCTGCGTGTGCACTGACTGTCGTGGCTTGAATCACATCACATGCAAGAATCTCTATATACTTTGCCGTGCATGTATGATCTGTTTGATGCTGTTGTTGTTGGGTGGGTGGTCTTCTCCAAGATTGATTTCAAATCCGATTATCATCAGATTGAAGTTGATCCGGCAGACCAACACAAGACGACATTCCCGACACAAAGCAGCTTGCATAAGTTCCTAGTGATGCACTTTGGTCTTGCGAATGTCTCTGCAACATTTCAAACACTCATGGACCAAGTCTTTCGCAATCCTCTCTATAAGTCCGTTGTTGTGTACGTCGACGATATATATATATATATATATATATCGTCACAAACAGAACTGCCCGGTAAAACCGTAGGCAGAGAGAGAGAAGAGGACAACAAACGAGGGGCTGTGACAAACTGTTTCGTCGGAGTTTCACCGACTATATTTGACAATATCGTCATATATATATTCTGAATTTTAGCCAGGTGATGGTGAAACACAAACAACATCTCAAGGAAGCATTGCATATCTTGTGCAAAAAAAAGTTGCATCTCAAAATCCGAGAGTGCACTGGATAGTAGAATTTGCATTGGCCGTCATCTTTCGGCAGGCGCCAGAGGCAGCCAAGGTAGAGGTCATCGCGCAATGGCCTCAAGCCACTTGTGTGCGCGACATTTGATCATTTCCGGGTCTTGACTCATTCTATCACAAGTTCGTGCCTAATTTTTCCTTTGTTGGGAAACCTTTGGGTTCACTTACTAGTAAAACTGTTTTCTTTCAGTGGTCCCTTGACTGTGAGAAAGCCTTCAAAAATCCTAAGAAGGCATTTGTTGCACATCCTGCTCTCCGTATTCTTGATCACTCACTCCCCTGTTTTCACTATGGATGCAAGTCAATATGGCATCGGCGCTGTGCTGCAACAAGATTCGCCAGTTGCCGGTTTTTATCGTTTGGAAAGATCTACGGCGAGTCGAGTTCATGTGTAAGCACATTCCTTCAAATAGGGTCCTTAACTACACGTATAATCCCAATATTTTTGCACTGCATGGAGCTCAATCCCATTGGCATTACTACCTTCTTGGGCGTCATTTCAAAGTCTATTGTACATAAGTATTTGTTTTTCAGTACTTACGCAGCCGGGCATTTGAGTCCATAAGTGGACCAAGATCCTTATCGAGCCAGAGGATAAGAACGGCACCCGGTCACTGATGACTCGAATCAGGCACCAAGGGAGCGAGTGACGTTTTTCAGTCTTTCTGTAGCGCGGCAGGTACCCGCGCAAGACACTTAAGTTGACCCTTGAGTGTCACATATGACCCCAAGGCCCACTAGGGGCTACGAGTCAAGTGTCATCATAACAACTAGTCATGAAGCCTCCAGTTATCAACCAAGTATGACAGCTCGAGCGTCAGTCGTGAAGCCTCGTGTTATCAACTAAGGTTGATGGCTCAAGCGTTTTGGCCTTATACTAACCGCATGGATAGGCATTCGCATCACAACGTATGGAAAAGTTTTGGAACAACGGAAAAGGCACTAGGCGTAAAAATGAGTTGAATATTTTGTTCTGGTTTGGTGTCGCAAGCGGGGGAAGCAGGATCAGGGGGTAGTCGTTCGGAATAGGAAGGAACGGGTCTTTGGACCCCTTGCCGGTGATAGTCCGGATATTGTAGCATGAAGGTGGTTTAGGGTTTAAATGGCGCACAACAAATGTTGGCACGAGTTTGTTGTGGAGGAAAGGTTGTTACAGTCATCTCTTTGACAAGATGAACACTCCTTCCTTTGACAAGATGAACACCCCTCTTTGACAAGACGAACACCCCTCTTTGACAAGACGAACACCCCTCTTTGACAAGACAAACACGCCTTTCCTTTGACAAGACGAGCACTCATTTCCTTTGACAAGACAGACACTCCTTTCCTTTGACAAGACGAACACTCCTCTACCCGGTCTTCTTTCTCTCCAGAAAGGTACTCTTTTTTCCTCTCTAACGGTCATCTGATTAAACTCAAATGCGGAAACAAATAATACACACAGCTTGCAGGCACATACACACATAGCCCACAGGTACATAGATAGCCTACAGACACATACACATCACGCATACAGCCTCTGGGCACACATACATGGCCTACGGGCATACACATAGCCTATGGGCACATACGTGCAGCCTCCAGGCCCATACATACAGCTACAATACCAGGCTGGGGAGGGGGTCAGGGGGGTCTAGTACATGCTTCACTAGGAACTGGTAGGACCAGGGCTGGGTAGGGATATAAGTCGCTCCGGCTTGTTTCGGATCCACCTAATCTTGGGTAAGCTAGGACAGTCCGGATTTGTCCGTGGGTGCTAGCCTGCCTAGCCTTGGTCCCTATACCTGCTACTCGGTCCGGGTAGAAACTCTGACTATACGGGGCTAGTAGAAGAATGCTTGAGCCTGGTGTCCAAAGTTCCCGCACAACAAGGCTTGTCCAATTCCGCTTCAACTTGGGCTGGGCAGGGATATAAGTCGCTCCTGCTCGTCCAGGATCTGCCTAGCCTTGGGTAAGCCAGGACAGTCTGGCCTTGCCCGCAGGCGTCAGCCTGCCCAGCCTTGGTCTCTATACCTGCTATTCGGTCCAAGTCACCCTCCAAGATGGTAGGATGATAGTCCTGAGTGATTCACACTGAGGTAGGATAGTGGGGATAGCGGGTGCGCTAGGAGTATTGATGAGAGGAAGGGTTGGTAGGTAGCCTCACAATTGTAAGGATAACCAATGCCTGACTGATCACTGCAACCATCGTATGTCTGGAATCCAGCCTCTATAACAACCTGGGCTTAAAAGAATAATAATAATAAAAATTAAACAAAAGGGGGAGAAAAAAAAAAGAGGTCTGATCTAAGGAATGAGTCTGGTCCGCTCAATCATGAGATCCACTCTCAACTAACCTAAATCAAAGATAGTCAGATAGATCAGAATCAAGAAGTAGGAACAGATGAAGCTATGGGGAGTCAAGGGAGTAGAGTGTTGAAAACCGGGCGACAATGGACCTGGTGTTAGGATTTGCGAAAGAACACATTCAAGATCTACTGGAGCGATGAATGACGCATTCTAAAATGTCTCTCCTTCCAATTCCGTCAGGATGATGCCTACGCTGCACTAGAACTCGTAGCCTGCAAACCTCTTCTCCCTGAGGTAGGGTCCCACTGGGTACGTGTGCCCCCATGTAGGCCCGCAACCCTACCCAGTTACATCAAGGAGCCTTTACTCCAAAAGAAAGACTACTCACACCCTTTTGTTTTGACAAGGGAGAACAGCCACCATGCGCAAAACCAACACATCCGATCGGATTAAGAGATTCTGGTCATAGATTCGGGAGATGGCTTACCGGCCAGTTGCTTGTAATCGTTGGCCAGGCAAGTTGCTTGTAATCCTGTGTAAGGGCATACCACTCTCGAAATGTGCAAAGTGAGAATGAAATTCCTGCTAGAACAAACATTTCCAGATGCACCCGCCACATTTTCGTCTTTTTCACATTTCAAGAATGGTGTGGCGAGGCCCTCAGCAGGGTGGTGCCTCCGTCTGCTGTTTGAACCCATGACTGGACGTATTAATTGGCCATTGCAGGCCACGGACGTCCGCTTCGGAGAATCCCAGAATCATCGAACGGAGTAAGGGGCGGGATCCACTCGACGAAGGTCCCGTCATGCAGCTTTACCAGCTTTTTTTTGTTTTTGTTTTTTTCAAAAACTTGGCATGAACCAACTGGTCTAGCTCTCAGTTTGTACACCCATGAACTGTTGAAATAGGGACCGATGAGCAAAACAAAATTGTTCCTTGGACAACCAAAAAAAGAAAAAACTCCACAGGATGCCAAGGCTCTTCCTATTCTTCCCCATTCTGTAGAGCAGCAGCCAGGTTCTTTTTTCTTTCCGCTGGTGAGTCGCCTCACATATAAACCACCAGACTCACGCAGGACCTTGCCAAACCACTCTCGAAGTGTGAAAAAGACAAAAATGTGGAGGGTGCATCTGGCCATGTTCTAACGGGAAGTTCATTCTCATTTTGCACATTTTGAGTTGTATGGCAATGCCCACGGAGATCCTCCCCATCATGGTTGGGTGGGCAGCAATGATCTGAGTTGTCTGCGACCGTTGGTAGGTGGGCTCGACCATCCTGCCGTCTTCCTGCGAACGCGACGCACAGGCAATCTTCCCTTCCAATATAGTCATGATGACGGTGCGTTGTGTTTGGGGAAAGACGTAATAGTCCAGGGTGGATTTGCCCCCGGGGTCGAATGGAGCATTTTGT